CTAATTTATATTTTTCACGCTTTATGCTATTCTTTAATATTAGTTATAACATCTACTTAGTGAAATAATGCTTAATGAATTACCAGTTGTAAATAGGAACTTAGAAGCAATTTGCAACTCTTGTATAGTTTCCTCCCAGAATCAGAAGAATTTGAAGGCGAGAGTGGAGTATGTGTGTGTGGAGAGGGTTGGTGAGTGAGAGAGAGACAGACATTCTCTCTCTTCATGCTTTTTAACTCTTCTGTAATTGATAAGGAAACTAAGAGTTTCCTTTCCTTCCCCTAACCTTCCTGGATTTTCTCTCTGCTTCCACTTCCTAATAATTACTAAGATTAGAATTAAACATGATAATAGTTCTTACATATTCATCTCCAAATATAATGTAACAGGATATTTATTTATGCAGATATCAACTTACCTGATGAAGATCATTACCCAACGCATACTCTTGAAAGTAACCTGGTGCAGCAGATGATGCTCTAATGGCTTGCCATAATTTATACTGACAACCTCCAATGTAGTGAGACTTGATACCTGGAAGGTGGTTATAGTTTCTAAACACAAATGCTTTCAGTGGTGTTCCTCTGTTTACAATAGTGCTTACTGCAGCTACCTAGTAGGTTAGAAAAATAAAGATAATTTCAGATACCTACACTATATCTCCCACAGCTACAAGATTTAAACATTAGCTTTGTACATCATGCTGTGGGTACAAGTACACCTGACAATACAACCATTAAAGTAAAACAGGAAAATAAAATTCACATGACTAGCTTGAACAAAAATTAATCCCTTGTAGTTTACAACCCTCATAAACCAATTTTTTTTTTTAATTAGGTATAGTCAAGAAATTTTCTTCTTTGTTTCTATCCTATGTCATGTTCTATTGCCCTTCTGGTTGTGAAATATGGACATTGCTCCCTGTGGAGCTCACCAACGCTTCTCCCACGTCAACCAGAGTCACAGCCGCAGAATTGAGATACCTCCTCCCCAAGATTCTGCTCACCCGTAAAAGCTAGAGAAACGCAAACTCTGAGGTAAAGACAGCATCCTGTATTATTTTTATCTTTAAAAAGAAGACGACAGAACTTAATGGAAAGAAAGCACGGAGGGAAAAGTTTTGTTTGTCTGTTTTTGAATTGGAGGTGGTAGTAGAAAGAACATACAGACTTAATTCCCTATTCCTCTTCCAAACAGGCATCATGAGTTACCAGTACCGTATGCTACAACAGTCAAGAGAAAATAGGTCTCTGTATTAACTAAGAAAGTTCGTAAATCAGTGAAATATCTTTTCTTGAACTTGTTATCTTCAGTGAGAAATAATGAGGTTATCACTATTTGCTATTCTGTTTTTCACAAGCTCTATCAACTAAAATTTTACAGAAAATAGTCACATGCCTGACATAAAACGATGTTGCTGTTTTTTAGTAAGTTATAGGCAAAGGCAAATATTGGAGAAAAAAAAATATTGTTTAAAGACAAGTCTCTGTCTAACAAGTGTTTTATTATTTTTAACTTATGTGGATGTTATTTCCAGCTTCTTGGAGCGACTATAAAATAGTTATTTCTAATCAACACAAAGAACTACATTAAAGGGTGGTCAAGGCTGCAAAGAGGAGCATTCAAAAAGTCAGAAAATAGCACTATCCAAGTAAAAATGATGCGCAACACGTACCTAATGTTACAAGCCTCAACAGAAGTAACTAGATTCTCCAGTCTAGCACAGAGGCTCATATCTTAGTAATTCATGTATAAAGTGCACCTTTGTATTACACTTGTGGCATGCTTCCTTATCTCAGGAAAACAAAAGATTCACTCTATTTCAACAAAAAATAATCAAATTACAATGTAACTAAAATAACTAGGGTCATAAGTAGTATGAAATTCTCCTACATTTTATAGTTCTGGAATTTTCCATAAAGATACTAAAATATCATGGACAAAAGAATTGTGCATGTCATTCCAAGTGGGAGAGAGAAAGTAGTCCTTCCCAGAAAGAAAGGTCTGGAAGCAACGATCAGAATGTTTTAGGGAGATGCTTACCCATAATTATATTCGCTATTTACTAAATGCTTACCATATGATGGTAAGAATTTGCAAGATCTTTAACTGATGATGCATAGCTCATGGCTGGCATTGTCTAAAACAATGCCTCTTGGCAAATTAGTGGGTGGGTGATACTATTTGCATACTAGTTTACAAAGTAGTGTTTGTTTTTGTGAAAGTATTACTCATCAGCACTTGAAGCTGAAGTTATGATATCAGCGTATTAACTCCCATCTCTCAGTTGCACAATTACAAGTAAATCACTGTATTCACAGAAAATATAGCTTCACCAGGAAAAAAAACAATATATGTGTAAAACTTCTATATGACAGTGATTAAGGTACAAATGATGAAGTACAATTTTCTGTTCACCCCAAAAGGGTCGTCTTCTGCTCCCATTGAAGCCAACGGCAAAACTTTCATTGTCTTCAATGGGAATAGGATCACACTGAAAAACTCATATTTGGTTTTTTAACACCTACACATTTTTCACTTCAGGATATAATCCTAATCTGCGAAGTACTAAATGCTTCCTGCAAGGCACTAAGCATCCAACTCTTACTGAATTCAATAGCAGTTGAGAGCAACCTTGTACGGTTGCATGTTTTATTTGGATAATACTATAGCCCTGTCACCACTAAAGTGGTTACTTTGAATAACTAACATTTTCATATCTATTCATATACTCATTTTATTACTCAGGAACTTAGCAAGGCAAGATCTCAGTTCAAAGATAACTTTCAAATCAAGTCAGTATAGGACATCTCCCTCAAAAAGTAATATGTCATTCCAGCTTTTTCCATGTCCTCCTTTTACACACAGAGCATAAGGGGAGTCAGTTGAGCTCATGTCTATTTTCAGAAGAATCTGAACCTTTACCGTTTAATTATAAAACATTGAATATAGTACTATAATGACACTAAGGCACCTTTAATTACCAAATTGTTCTTAACCATGTACATAAGAACATAAGAATGGCCGTACTGGTCCAGACCAAAGATCCATCTAGCCCAGTATCCTGTCTACCGCAAGTGGGCAATGCCAGGTGCCCCACAGGGAGTGAACCTAACAGGTAATGATCAAGTGATCTCTCTCCTGCCATCCATCTCCACCCTCTGACAAACAGAGGCTAGGGACACCATTCCTTACCCATCCTGGCTAATAGCCATTAATGGACTTAACCAGTTCTCTTTTAAATGCTGTTATAGTCGTAGCCTTCACAATCTCCCCAGGCAAGGAGTTCCACAAGTTGACTATGCGCTGTGTAAAGAAGAACTTCCTTTTACTTGTTTTAAACCTGCTGCCCATTAATTTCATTTGGTGGCCCTTAGTTCTTGTATTATGGGAATAAGTAAATAACTTTTCCTTATCTACTTTCTCCACATCACTCATGATTTTATATACCTCTATCATATCCCCCCTTAGTCTCCTCTTTTCCAAGCTGAAAAGTCCTAGCCTCTTTAATCTCTCCTCATATGGGACCTGTTCCAAACCGTTAATCATTTTAGTTGCCCTTCTCTGAACCTTTTCTAGTGCCAGGATATCTTTTTTGAGATGAGGAGACCACATCTGTACGCAGTATTCATGATGTGGGCGTGCCATCAATTTATATAATGGCAATAATATATTCTCTGTCTTATTCTCTATCCGCTTTTTAATGATTCCTAACATCCTGCTTGCTTTTTTGACCGCCTCTACACACTGCGTGGACATCTTCAGAGAACTAGCCACGATGACTCCAAGATCTTTTTCCTGATTCGTTGTAGCTAAATTAGCCCCCATCATATTGTATGTATAGTTGGGGTTATTTTTTCCATTTCTTTTCATTTATCCACATTAAATTTCATTTGCCATTTTGTTGCCCAATCACTTAGTTTTCTGAGATCTTTTTGAAGTTCTTCACAGTCTGCTTTGGTCTTAATTATCTTGAGCAGTTTAGTATCGTCTGCAAACTTTGCCACCTCACTTTTTAACCCCTTTCTCCAGATCATTTATGAATAAGTTTAATAGGACTGGTCCTAGGACTGACCCTTGGGGAACACCACTAGTTACCCCTCTCCATTCTGAGAATTTACCATTTATTCCTACCCTTTGTTCCCTGTCCTTTAACCAGTTCTCAATCCATGAAAGCACCTTCCCTTTTATCCCATGATAACTTAATTTATGTAAGCCTTTGGTGAGGGACCTTGTCAAAGGCTTTCTGGAAATCTAAGTATACTATGTCCACTGGATCCCCCTTGTCTACATGTTTGTTGACCCCTTCAAAGAACTCCAATAGATTAGTAAGACACGATTTCCCTTTACTATTTGTACTAAAATGTACTATTTTATTTCTTCTCCTTCCTAATAACAAAAACAAAATACCCTCTCCTTTCTCATTTTTCTCTCTTGTGCTGTGCTATATATAACTCCTTCAATTAATTAGTGCCCTTCATATACTACAGGCAAACAGATCACTACCTACCAAAGGGACAAGAGGAAACCTGGTGATCAAATGGGGAGAGACTACTAGCTCTCTCACACCACCCACAGGAAGAAAGTTAACAGCCAACATCACAGGACTGCAAGGAAACACTGAAAGGATTCTAGGACAAAATAGCAAATCTCTGTAGAATCCAAGATGTGATATAAAAGTGAGGGTAGTTGAGAAGTATGTATTAGTAGTCGGTTCACAAACATCATCTCATGGGAATTAATGTATCTAAAATCAGGACACTTATCAGCTAAGAAGTACAAGACTACTACAGCAGGGTTGGCAAATATTTAAGATATCTTGTGGAATTTTAATTTTTAAATGGGGATTGTTTTTATAGATACTTTTCAGAGTATAGGTTACAAAAATCATGCAATTTGTACAAATAACATTTGTCAAGTGATGGCACTGTCACCCAAAGCTATATGTTCCTAATACATTTTTTTAAGTACAATATTAGTTCTTGAAAATCTTCACTTACCTTAGGACATCTGGGATTTCTTGCAGTTTCAATCATGAGATCCGATCCCATTCTCTCTCTATATAACAGGTAAAAAAATGAAAACGCATCACCAGTTTGGCATCATCAGAACAATAAATTAGTCAAAAGAGACAAGTAGGGTGAGGTAATATTTTATTATACTAACTTCTGTTGGTGAGAGAGAAGTTTTTGAGCTTACACAGAGCTCTTCTTCAGGTTTGGGAAACTTACTCAGTGTGTCACAGCTAAACACAAGATGGAACAGATTGTGTAGCATAAATAGTTAAAACATATTTCAAGGGACTGTTCAAGGTGAAGTGGCCTGTTATCTCTCCCACCATGTCTCTCTAATATCTTGGGACCGACACGGCTACCCCACCACTGCATAATCAAAACTAGTCATTTATGCCCACTTTTACTTCTGGTATTTTCTATTTAAAATACACAAGGTGAAATCCTGGCTGCACTGAAGTATATGGGAGTTTTGCCATGACTTCAACAGACCCCAGATTTCACGCACTGTATTTTCTCAGCAGTTGGAAACGATGAATTCATTATTCAAATGATTTGAAAAGAATGACTGAGGCCTCAGTACAACAAAGTATTTAAGCATGTACTTAATTTTAAATCAATGGGACTGGTAATTAAAGTTAGGAACGTGCTAGAGTGCTTTGACTGTTTGGGACTTGAAAAGGAAATTCTTAAATGTAGTGGTTTTACTTTAATGAAAGTCATTCTTGCTGAGGTGTTGACCATTATCAAACAAGAAATAAAAACATCTTTCTTGAAAAAAGAAAAAACCCATCACTATTACAATTTTTTTTAGAATATAAACATGCAGCAAGAAAACAGAAGTTAAAGTATCTATTCTTCATTCTGCATAGATTCTTTACAACTCTTCCAACTGTTAAGGAGAAACCATGTGAATCATCCAAAGCTGAATCCATCATCACATCAACTTTAGGGTTAGTGCTGCAGCATCTGAGTCAGAAGATGACCTCATTACATGATCCAAGACTGGTTTGGGTAGAAGCATGGAAGCAGCACTGTGCCAAGGGCCTTGTATCAGAAGATAGCTGAGACGGAAGATCAGAGGTAACAAAATTCATTTACACCTTAAAATAGACATTCTTGTGGGACAGCTTGAAAAATCTACACGTTACGGACAGTAGGCTCTTGCCCAAGCCAAATTCCCTCAGCTTCTGCAGAATACAAGATTACATTTACATAAAAATATTCTAGCCCTCCTGATAATCAAAAAAACTTTCTGAACACAGCCCAAGTTTAAACCAATGGGGTGCTGTCTTCCTAAGTCTGCAAAGACAGTTCCAGTGCTGCCACAGTCACTAGGTAAGGTGGTTCTGTGACCCAGCCAACGCTTGGTGCCAACTGGCAGAGGGCACAGGGAGTGCATAGGTATTTACAGGGATCCTCTGGGTCAGATATACACATAATAGTTCATCAAAGGGTGGCATGTAAGGTCTGTACTGAGAGCTGGTATCCCACTGATTGTTATAATCATTGAGAAACATATGTACGGATAATATTGAAGGAGTTACATATCTATACCAAAAATTATGTTCTTAAGGTCTTGACATTAAAGCAGGTCACAAGGAGGTGACATATTCAGACATGTTCCTTTCATACAAGAGCTAGTAGACACCTATCTCCCTATCTGGCCATTGTGTACTGTATGCCTATTTGCATGAAAGAATACAATGAGAGATTGTGAAAATCTACAAGAAAGGAAATCTACAAGACAAAAAAAACACCATGGGGAGTGGTCATGTGGATGAATAAAAGACACAGTATGGGACTAGTATAGTTTGGGAAGCAAAGAAACACTGGAGTCCTTCACCTAGGAGGGAAGTGGACAGCATTTGTATCTCATGAAGAGATGGATCACAGCCAAACCTGGCTGTAAAGCGCTGCAATGATTTTGGGGGAGCATTACTCTACTATACATGACAGTATTTCAGTCTATGTTCTAGAATGAATGTTATGATTTTATTTTATATTTAACCACTTTTTTCCAATACTTGTACTTGCTACTACTTGAATCTCTTTAAATACTTGATTTCACTATAAACATACCTAAGTGCTGTGTGTTAAGTGGGGCACTGATCTAAGATAGAACTGGTAAGCTGAGATGTCCTATTTTTTGAAAGCAGCAGATCTGAATACCTTGAGTGTCCAGTGGACCAGGAACTGGACATGCCAGGAAAATGCTCAAGGGCTGGAGCGTACCAATTGCTAACCTGTAGAGAAACCACAATGCTTAGAGGGGAGTGCTTGTGTTGCCCATGGGCAGTGGAGCTGGGGAGTTGACTGTTTATTGGGGTTGGCATTCATTGATTTGTTTACAGAGACTAGATTGTGCGGATCGAAGTAGAGGACCAGTGGAAGACCAAGTAAAAGGGGTGCATGGCTTGGGTGAGACTTGAGATATGGAACTGCTCTTGGGAAGTGTGGCTTGGACCACTGGTGTATTTCACCCCAAAAAGTAGGCTTAGCCTTTGGGATAGTAGACGTTGGGTAATTTTTCAAGACCAACTCAGGCAGAGAAAGTTTACTGTTGCACCAGCAACCACTACAAATTTGTTAGCATTTTTATTATAACTCTGGATATTCTTAACATTCACATAAGTGTCCAATTAATTTTTGAATCTTGCTAAGCATACGGCCTCAACAACATCCCATGGCAATGAGTTCCACAGTCTAATTTTCATCCAATGGTACAAGTCATAGTCTGTTACTAGTTTTGAATTAGCCTATTTTTTAAATTTCATTGAGTATCCTCTTGTTTTTGGGTTACCTTCTCTATACTATTCATTATTTTACATACTTTTGTCATGCCCCCTTGTCTCCTTTCAAAAGGAAACAATCCCAATCTTTTCAATCTCTCTTCCTTTAAGAGTTTTTCCATGACACAAATAATAGGTCACCCTTTTCTAAGCCTCCTCTAACTCTTCTATCATTTCTGAAATGAGGTGACTTGTACTGCATACAGTTTTGTCACTAAGGCTGCACCATTGATTCACATAATGGAATCATAATATTTTCTGTATTATCCAATCTAGTTCTTATGCATCCAAATATCCTGTTTGTTTAACATCCAGTGTGCGGAGCCATTGCTCATCCCTATTTGTATATGGTTTGGGGTAAAATACAGGCAAGTAAATTTATTGATATGAAAATCTGAAACTACCTTAAAGAGAAACCTCGAAAGAGTCTGTAAATACACCTTATCTTTAAAGAAGACTGTGTACAGTGGTTTGGATGTGAGGATGTGCAGTTCGGAGACCCTTCTGGCAGAAGTGATAGCAATTAGGAAAACCACATTCCAGGAAAGGTATAATAAGGAGCACTCTGTTAGAGGATCCCATACGTTTAGACAAAACTAAGTTCAAATCCCAAGGGGAAATGGGCTCCCTTAGTTGAGGGTACAATCTTTCCATGCCTTTAAGGAGTCTAATTGTCATGTCATTAGAAAAAAAACAAAACAGTTATCCAGAAAGCTGATATTGCTGCCACGTGAACACTGATACAGGAAAATTGCTAAGTTTGTACTGTTTCAGGTGCAGCAGATAGTTGAGTTTTTCCTTGATGGATGAATGTACCAGTGAGGACTTGTTTGACAAGTCCAGATGTAGAACTGCTTTCATTTTGACAGGTAGGTGGCTCTGGTGGAAGGATTTCTGATATCTAGGAAGACCTGGTGGACTTGCTCCAAGCAAGCCTGCTCTTTGGGATTTAGCCATGGAACTTCCAAGACATCAAATGAAGGGATTGCAGGTTCAAGTGCAGCAGCCAACAGTGGTCCTGAGAGATCAAATCTGGGTGCAACAGGAGTGAGATTGGAGTCTCCACTGAGAGATCCAGTAGAATAGAGAGCCAGTGTTAGCAGGGTTATGCTGTGGCTATTACTACCCAGGAGTGGTCCCACTTGATTTTTAGTAGTGCTCTATGTGGGAGTAGGATTGGGGGAAAAGCAAAATAAAGCTTTCCCATCTAGGGTAGCAGGAAGGCATCTGAGATGGAATCTGTCCTGTGGCCAGGTAGGGAACAGAACTGGTGAAATTTTTTGTTGTACTTATTCATAATTAGGTAAATTTGGGGAGTACCCCACTGCTGGAAAATGTATCTGGCTACATCTGGATGAAGAGACCACTCACGGTGACTGGAGAAAGACTGGCTCAGGTGATCTGCTAGTTCGTTCTGCGCAGGGTGGATTTGATTTAAATCAAATGGATTTAAATCACTAGTCAGGAAGACTCGATTTAATCATGGATTTCTACATAAATGCATTCTTGTTGGTTGTTATAACCTTAATACATATTCTTCACAACTTCAGAGATAGATATAGGTTTCATTTTTAGAAGGTACACACTATACATTTTTAAACAGTGATTTGTTTCATTTGGGCAACCAGGCCTTGCATTTCTTTGTTGCTCTGTTTGCATTTTGCATGCATGCCTGTCTTGCCCATAGGTAGAGGAACTTCATTAAAATATTCCCAAACTGAGTCTCTTTTATGGCCTGCTGCCATTATTGGTTTTCCCTTCTAGTGAGAGAATGGTGTGGTAGAACTCAAATCAATGAAGGCTACACTCAAAAAGACCTCAAGACTTCTGGAATATGCTGCTCAAACAGTTTCCCCTTTGTTTCTACTGCCTGTCCCTCCCTTCTCACACTGTTTTCCAGACTTCTTCTCCTTGTCCAGATCTATTCCACCCCCAACAATCTTCTATTCATTCAACTTTTTGAAACTTTGCACTTTTAGAGAGAGGTAAGGGATTGATTCTGTGTACACAAATAGGGTTGAGGTCTGTTATTTATCACCTCTATATATTATTTATTTAAAAACATTTTTGCTGTTAACAAGCATGTTATCTCCAGAGACACAAAATGACAGTTTGAGAACTGCAAAACTAAGCATCTCTGATGGCATCTTCTAGACTGAGCACTGAGTCTCACTGGGTAGACAGAAAGATTAACCTAAATAATCTATACAGAAGTCCCTGGAATCCCATAAGATTGGGTCCCTAATCCATGAACTATTGGAACTCATTTACAAAACTTTTCTTAAACACTACATTAATATATTGTCTCATAATATAGAATTAGAATTTATAATCCATGATGAGATATCTTTGAGCTATAATGTATCTTAATTAAAACTATCGTTGGATAGATTTTTTTCCTCAAAAAGCATTTTATCAAAATAATCCGATTTAAATAAAAAAAAAATCTGATTTTTTGATTTTTTTTTTAAATCATTGATTTTTATCCACCCTGGTTCTGCACCCCCGGAAGGTATGAGGCCTCGAGGTTGATAGAATGGGCTAGATAAAATTCCCACAGGTGAATTTCTTTCTGACACAGAAGGGATGATTGAGCTCCTCCCTTCCTGTTGAGTAAAACATTGCTGCCATGTTATCTATAAAGACAAACAGGTTTCTCCCTGCAATGAGAGGTAGGAAACCCTGACAGGAAAGATGAATCACCCTGAGCTCTCTGACACTGACATGAAGAGCAAGTTCTATTGAGGACCAAAGATCCTGAGTTCAGAGGGGCCCTAGGTGAGCTCCCCACGCTGGAGCCGAAATATCTAAAACCAGAGTAATTGATGGCTGAGGGCAGAGGAAGGGAACACCCACACAAACGCTGATTCATTGCTGGATTCAACCACCAATTCAGCAAAATTAGAACCTGCAAAGGTACCGTCAGCCCAGTGTCCAAGTGTAGATGACTTGGTAAGTACACTGAGTCCAGCCACGTCTGAAGGGGTCTAACATGTGGCCTCGTATGTTGTACTACATATGTGCACAAGTCCATGTGCCCTACAAGTCTCACAGTTTCAGACTATTGTGGTTGGATGAGTCTTGAGGTTGGTCATGAGAGATCAAATAGCTTGGAATATGGACTCTGGCAGAAAAGCTCTAACCTGGGTAGTGTCCAACATAGCCCCTACAAACTCTATCCTTTGTACCAAGCAAATGATAGACTTAGCTGCATTGATCAGTAGTCCTAAGGCCTTGAAGGCTGACTGAATAAATCGATCACTGGATATAATCTGAGTTTTGGACTAGCCCTTGACTAGTCAGTTGTCCAAGAGTAGATCGGCACTCCTTGTCTCTTGAGGAACGATGCTACAATGGTCATACATTCTGTCAACACCTGAGGAGCTGCAGGTAAGCCAAACTGAAGCATTGTGATCAGGTAATGCAAGTGCTTCACTATGACTCTGAGGAACTTTTTGTGAAAGGAGGCATCTCTTAAACCAAGGTCAGTGTACCAGTCTCCAGAGAGGGAATAATGGATGCCAGGATGACCATGTAAAACTTTATCTTTTTGAGATAGCTATTGAGATGATGCAGATCTAAAACAGACCTGAGATCTCCCTTGGCTTTTGGGATTAGAAATAATGGAAGTAGAAACCCTTCCCTCTTAAATTCTGAGGAATCTCCTCTATGGCTTCCACCTGAAGGAAAGATTAAACATCCTGGACCAGAAGTTCTTCGTGAGAGAAAGAGGGACAGGGAGGGAGTAGAAGAAACAAACCGGAGCACTTTTATAGCACTGAACATCCAACAGCCCATGGTGATATGGGAACAAGCATTGAGAAAATGGGAAACAAAGGAAAAATGGGGTTTGGCATCCTGGGAACTGGTATGGCATCCTCAAGCATGCCATCCCAACACCTGCTTAGAACCCCTTGGATGTGTAGGTGGGACAGGCATTGAAGCAGAGGTCGGAGGAAAAGGTGGTCTAGGCCTATAATCTTCTTTCTCTGCAGGTCCTTTCGGACAACTGGAATAGAACACCAAAGGAGTTGCTAAGGCCTGAAATGCTTTCTGGAAGGGCTGGGATATATAACCCAAGGGACTTTACAGTTGCCCTCAAGTCCTTTAATCCATGGAGCTTAACATCAGTTTGCTCCAAAAAGAGCGAGGATCCTTTGAAGGACAGGTCCTGCATAGCTTGTTGGACTTCCCATGGGAGCCCAACGGACTGCACTCAGGAGCTCCAATGCACGCCATTGTTGAAGCCATGGACCAGGTGCCCAAGTCAACCATGTCTACAGCAGCTTGCAGTGAGGCCCTTACCACCAATTTTCCCTCATCCACTAGCAAGGAGAACTCCTGCCTAGCATCTTCTGGGAGCATGTCTTTAAATTTCAGCATGGAGTCCCATAAATTAAAGTCATACCTGCCCAAAAGTGCATGCTGGTTTTCAAGCCTGAGCTGCAACCGCCCAGTAGAATGAACTTTCCTATCAAACAGGTCTAACTTCTTTGAGTCTTCTGATTTTGGGGGGTTGTGCTCTGATGTCCCTGCCTTTCCCTCTCATTGGCAGCAGATACCACCACGATGGAAACCCTGAGATCGTAAAAAAAAGAAATCTAACTAAATACTAATAACCTTAATAACTATCTATTTATAATACAAGAGAGCACAGTCCACTGAGAGAACTTGCAAATGCAAGAAGAACAGTTCCAGTGACCATCACAGGTGGTAAGAAGGAATTGAGAGGGATTAAGGTTGGCTCGGCTCTTTATACCAATGTCAGCAGTATGTAGCAGCACTGGGGGCTCAGGCCACCCCAGTGGGTACCACCGAGGGAAAACTTCCGGCAACTGTGTGTGTACACTAAGAGTGGAATGCACATAGGCAATCACTAAAAGCTCTTATTTAAGTGATATCTTTCCATGCAGAATGTGCCACAATGCAGCTCTTGCAGTGATCCTATACCCCAACCCAAGGTGGGACAAGTCACTTGACTCCATCTTGTCTAAACCTAAAAATATGCAGGAGTTGGACCACTAAAACCACAGAAAATCACAAGCTGGTGAGAGACTGGACCTGTAACACTTTGTCACTCAAAATAGGCATTTTATGCCAATCCAAGGCCAACCCTGAAGATGCATATATTTTCTACTTCAGCCAGAGGCTGGAGAAGAAAGAAGTTATTGTAAAATGTTTGCTCCACATTTTCATCTCTTTAAAATACTGAATGTGGTGTTAAACCAGCATTTGTTTTCAAGGATTAAACTATGTCCCCAATCTTCTTCCGGATAGTGAAGCAATTCAGGTATAATTTTCTACCAATAGACGCGACCTTCAATATTGTGTAGCTTTCAAAGCAACAGTGCAGAAGACAGACTTCCCAGAATAGCATGATGTGGCAAGTTCTCCATTATACTACTGTTTGGGTAACAAGTTGCTTCTACTTTATGTACAGTTGCAAACTTGCCGTCAGTAGATACTATTTGGTAGCGCAGATATGGTCCAGAACATCAATTTTTTGAGGTAAGCAAATGTGTCAGCCAACCTTACTCTACCATCTACAGATGGCTGCTTGAGACAAACTTGACTCACAAATACTCAACTGTCTTAACACAGATGTAATGCTGTGTTTTCTACAAGGAAGTGTTATCATCGAGGGAGAGAGTTAGCACCCAGCGAAAGTGATCCTTTCTGGTAATGAATAGGGAGTTCTAGTCCATCTCAGCTTTAGAATGTCCTCTAAACAAATACTCATTGCTTTCACCAGTAAATACCTGAAGATAATATTGTAATACCCAATCTCGGGTGCTGACATAAAAGCTACTCAAAAGAGGCAAGGAACAAAACAGAATGGGTACTGAAAAATCAGGATTAAAATGTATTGGCAAGTCTACATATGGAAGCTTGTCATTATTGTTTGCTAGATAATCAATGTTATTTATCTCTCATTTTTAAGAGCCCAAAAGTTTAAAATGTAAACAATTTTCCTCCATAATGTTTACATAGGTTTTCTTAACTTTACTATTTCCAAAAATCAAGCCACTTTAAATATATAATGAATTATGAATACTAAAACTATTTTAAATATGAATGTGAAGCAATTTAATAAAAAAACAAAAACAAAACAAAAACAAAAACCCCCGACATTAACACTAAATACATTTCTTCAACAAATGATTTCCTAATTTGTTATCTGTTATTACACACACAGAAAACCAACTGCTCCTCACTTTATAGACCGATTTTACACAGCAACAGGTACATCTTTTCATCACAATATATTTTTGTGGTTTTTATTTTCTTTTTAAAGAAAAAGGCAATCGGTAGGAAAATTCATACTGTAGCATTTAAAATGGGAGGCAGGGTGCTTGACACAGCCTATTATTTCACTTTTAGCATTTTTCCTGTAGGGAAAATGTACAGCATGTGGCAAGCAATATTTGTAGCAGACATGTAATGAGTCAGAATGAGCAAAGTTGGAAAGTATATGGGCATAAAATCAGAAAGCTGTATATCACAGCTCATTTTATTCCCTGGAAACCGAAGAATGATTGCATTAAAGGCTTTCAGATACTTTGGCTAAATGAAAACAATCAGCTTTTCAAAAGATATTGGTATAATGTACCTGCCCTTTTAGAGCTGTGTTTTTAAACTTTTGCTTACAATTAAAGCAGCAACGAGATCACAGATTTTCAGAAATGATTTAAAATCCATTTTAACTTACTTGAGCATCTTTTCCCAGATATCACTGTCATAAAATGCATGGTTCCAACCCATTTTCATTGTCCCAACAATGACATTCTGCTTAAACACATCTGATCCTAATTTGTGATACAGTTCCTCACATTCATCCAGAGGGATATGGAATAACCCCAACATAAATGCTAATATAGCACCTGAAAAAAATAAAATAAAATTTTAAATGTAACTTGGGATGACACTATGATGCTGTATTATTTATTTTAATATAATACGTTTCAGAAGCAATGATAATTCACATATAATATTTTCCTTTAAAAGGTATGATCAATTGACCTTTGTGTCACAGGCTCATTTTTTTTGTTCAAAGATTATATCAATTTGTTTGGAGGGACATAATTGATAGAGACAGCTTTTACTTTCAGCAATAAAATTACAGAAAGTTTTGTCAAAGAAACAATAAAATATACTTTGATTTATTATTGCAAAAGGTTACGATATAAATATCAAGTTAAGTTTCTTTTTTTATTTGAGACGGCAACCTAGTATGTGAAGTCTAGGCTATATGTAACAGCCTAAAATCAAATCATGCTGTTTATTTTTCACCCTTTACATACAGAATGTCTAACAAGCTCATCAGTTCAGTAAAGATATTAAATAAAGATATAAAGATTCCAGGAAAGCTCTGAAAAATTAAAAGCTTAGAGTGCTTTGTAATACACAGTATTTCTTTGCAACTGATTTGTAGTTAGCCATTCATTCATAGTGCCATGTAGCGTGTATCAAAATAGCCTGACCCTGAACTGCTGAGAAAAAAGGTTCAATGATATTTGAAGAGTATGCTTGCAGAATACCACAGAATGGATTTGAGACAATGCTGACAAGTGCATCACAGCAGTGGCTTTAAGGGGAGGGCCAGCATCTATGACAGCATGGAATTTTTGTTCTATTGTGTTAACACAAATACACCGAGGGAGCATTCCTTATCATTACTAAGAAATGTTACTTGCACTGCAATCTAGAGTCACTCTGCAGCTAGCACAAAAGAAAAGCATAGATGTATTGAAGTGAACCTGAGCTCTAGTCAGATGCAGAGTTTATACTACAGTAAACCAGACGACACTGCAAATGTGGGCAAGGACACAAATAATCTATATACTGTATAGACATTAGAAATCTGGGTATAAAATAAAATTGGATTCAAATTGGTGCAGTTCAGGAAAATATTGTAAAACTACAGATTTTTAAAAAAAGGGGGGGGGGAGAATATTTGGACAGAAGTAATGTCAAAAAATGCATACATATAAAGAACAGCAGGACCACAGATTAGATATGGACTGGCAATGTGATATTATGACTGAACCTCTCTCCCCCTCCCATGCCTCCACAAAAACCCACAACAAGGCCATTGGGGGCTCATATGTAGAGGTATAGTATCAGGGAAAGGGTGTTAATAATTTCCCTTTATAAAAAAATTATGAGACAGATTTTAATTTGACTAGTAGACAATTAAGATAGTGGGGAGAGAATTTAGTAATATCTGAAGAGTTTCAATGCTGGTGAGGGAGAAAAATTGTTAAGGAGAGGCAAAAAGGTATAAATTAGGAGTAATTAGATTAAATTGGGTAAAAGAAAATTTAGGCTCAATATCCCCCCAAAAAGAATCCTAGATATAACTGAGATAGTTATTAGGAAATGTCTAATTAGTAGAATAATCTCCCCAAAGGAAGCAGCCAAAGCTCCATTGCTCGAGTCATTTAAAAACTAGACTTCTCAGAATAAAAGAAAATATGTAATAGGGAAAAATCCTGCATTCACACATTAATATTATCTATACTGCCTGGTCAGGTTAGGCTGTATCGTAGCCTGCTATCATAATGGCAGTAGATGGTACCACCTGCGACTGGCCAAAGTCTCAGGAAGCACCAATGGCTTTGGACGGATGAACATGTGGGGAGTGTAGTGCGATAGCCGATGGAGGTAATGGCATCTAAAGGCTGGAGGATTCAATTACGATTTAACCAATGCAGCCACAAACCTGAGGTAAGGTAATGGCAAACCACCTTTTATATTTTCTCTCACAAGAACTAACATGGGAGAACAAAGGTAACATGATCCATGTGTGGTGCTGAATGGTGAGGAATACCTCCCCCACACACAGGCCAGAAGGCATGATAAATTACACTGGGGAAGAGGTTCTGACCATATAAGAGTACTGATGGCAGTTATGGTGCTGTACCAAATGCTTCAGGAAATACAGTGCCTGATATTTGCTTGAAGGTAAGGAATAACCTGATTTTCATAAACTAATCATCAGAGTAAAGTATATATGACCAGAGGATCGCTATTGTGACCGAAGAATTGGAAAGATGTAAGATAGCTGTATGTGGAATCTCAAAGCTATGATGGAATTGTAGAGGTCATTTCATGATGATAAATGGTAGAGGTCATTTCACATACTATTCAGGATCCAAGAAAGCAACAGAATATGGAATTATATTTATCTTATCTAAGGAGATATCCAAGTGTGCGCTTTGATAGAACCCATCAACAATTGACTCATTATAATTTGCCTTTGAACTAAGCCAGTTAATATGTCGATCATACAGGTTTACGACCCAACAGCAGCATCTGATGACACAATACATAGATTCTACACATGGTTTGAAGAGACACTCATTCAACACCAAGCAAAGACATCACCTTTGTAACTGGGAACTTAAAAGCAAAAACTGGAGCTATATGCGGTCATAAAGAAGTAATGGGAACAATAGTCTTTGTTTACAAAATGAGAGAGGAAGGCTCCAATCATCTGGTCATTACAAACACCATCTTCACCCAACATCCTAAACATTTATATACATGGAGGTTAGCTGATGGTACAACAAAGAACCAAACAGACTATCAAATAATATTGGGAGATTGAGTATCCAATGGACAAAGACTTTCCCAAGTGCAGACTGCAGGTCAGACCATCAAATTGTTAGCATCAAATAATGTAAAAACAAGAAGATAAGAGTTTTGGTGCACTCGGGAAAGTCTTTGTCCATTGGACGCTCGATCTCCCATGTCCTGATATCGGTTTGGTTCTTTGTTGTGCAGTCAGCTGATCTCCATGTATATAAAATGTCTAGGATGTTGGGTGAAGATGGTATTTATAATGACTAAATGATTGGAGCCTTCCTCTCTCATTTTGTAAATGGGAGGTGAGCTGAGTGTGAAATTAGGGATGGATTAAGAAGGCTTCCAAAAATTATGCTATGATGTCACTAGTATTCAAACATGAATAAATAGCCTTTACTTGAAACTGCCTATTAGATCTGGAAGTTCTTTCTAATATTTATGATTCAACTCAGTACTTCCTCATGGAAAGTCAAACTGCAATATTTCAAGTCATGATGCCTGCTAACATATTCTGGGAACAGATTACACTGGATGAGATATATAGAACAGGAGAAATGAGGTACTTAAATTTCTAAAGTGAAGTATACTGTTTTGTACCTAAGCTGTATTGTGTTGTAACCTATCATATACCACTTACATCAGCCTTAATAATATTACATTGTTACTGACTTGACATCACTTTTTGAAAAGTGAACACCAGGGTGATTAATTAGTCAGTTTTGACCTTTAAAAAAAACTGTGATACTAAGATGATTTTGGAACCTTTCTTCTTTTCTAGGGAGAAGCATCAGCCCCCCTCTTGAGGTTGTTTTCTAAATCAACACATGGGGTAGTAGCAGGAGCTCCTGAAAATAACACACCGCTGTTTGAACAGTAGCTTAAGATGTACAGCATGGATGGGCAAAGAAGCTTTGGTGCCCACCCTAACATAATATGGCAGCTTGGGTGAGAAATATCACCTCCCAAGAATGAGATGATTAGAGTGGAGACCACTAAAGGGGAGATCAAAAGGCTGGTTGACAGAAAACCAATTCTATGAGGGAAGAGAAGACAAAGGGTGGAGGGAGACATAGGTGCTGTATCCTCTTCAAGTGAGTGGCAGATCAGATGGTTGCCAGAAGAGTAGCGACAAGCAGGCCAGGATAGCAGATTGACATGGGACAAGAGGAAGAATAGGAGCTCAGCACCTCTCTGTAATTGTTGTTCACCCTGTGATGGTTCTCTCTTTTGCAGAGGAAACTGCTTATCTGCCCCCTCCCACAAGCTGCCAGAACTCAGAAGAGGAGCACAACTGCTTCCTCTCCCCTGGCCCCAAATTCACTGCACATCTTCAGCCTTGTCTCTTCAGGCACATTGACATCTGCTGCCTAGAGTCCAACTCCTGCTGATATACAGGAAAGAATCTCAGCAAGTAGCAAGGCTTTTCCCTGGACACGGGGAGGCAAACTACTCAAATTAAAACACTATTTTAAAAAAAGACCAAGATTACAAGTATATTTACCATGACACTCACTTTTTAAAGAAATAGCATGTTTAAAAAGAACATCCAGCCATGGTAATAATATGTACACATGATCATAATACATTCAGTGCTGACATATTAATATATTCATGACAAGCCTTACCACTTCTCTCACAATCATTCAGTTATTGTGCACAACTTACAGATCCTTTATAATTTTTGTGTGCAAAAAGTATCCCCTTTATTTAAAAAAATTATAATTTCTATTAGGCATAACTGAGTTTCCTAGATATTTTTAGTGTGTACTATGTAGAATCAGATCAACAAGCACTGTCTTCTATACTGAGGTGCACATTTTTAGTCACTCAAACCTTATAACAATTATGAACCACCTCAATAAAATTGTGTGTCTATTAAGCATCTTGGAATGTGATGCCAAAGAGATAGTGGATTTCAATCCCCCTCCCAAAACAGCAAGACCCAGGAAACCTCCTAAATATCAAGGAAAAGAAGGTGTACATACATAACATATTATTATTGCATCTGTTACATTTGTTTGTAGACCCTTTGTGGTATTGCTCAAAACCTGCAATACTCCTCATCAGTATTTATGGGACACCAAACATCTTGATAGGTAGGTGTTAAAGAGCAATTTCTTCACAAATGAATTCCTCTCATAGTTTGATGGCTCAACATAAAATTAGACTGAAATCACGTGGTAATAAACGAGCATTCTTTGTATCACCTACAATTCTACTTGGCAAAAAATTATAGCCAAGTAACCTAGGTCTTAAATTATGCTGTAAATACAAAAGCAAAAAATAACACATTCCCTAACAAAAGAACTGGCTTGCATTTATAAAGATGGAGTTGTTTTCCTGGGGGAAAAAACGATTTTTCAAAAACAAGATTTTCTTATTTTTACTTTTATTAAGTTTATCATATAAAAATCCATAATGTGAATACTAATTACCTGTGCTTACACCACAAACGTAGTCAAAAAGTTCATGAACAGGCTTTCCAGTAAGTTCTTCTAGTTTACGTAAAGTCTGAAGTGCTACTAAACCCCTGAAACATATTAAAGCAACATCACAGAGAATGGTAGTTTGGTTACGTCTTACACAGAGCTAAACGTGTATACAGTTTGAATAAGCAACAACGAAGACAGGACATAATAAGTCTACAAGGTTTTAATACAAAGGAGGAAGAGGAATTTTGTAGTTTGACAATTATAATGAGGAATAATAGGATGCAATCAGAAAGGGAAAGATATACGTTAAATACCAGTGACTAATGATTTTGGGTGCCTAACTTAAGAGCCCTTGAAGGAGACTCATGTGCTCCATGGTGCTCAGTACATTCTGAAAATCAAGCCAAATTAAGGTACTCGAAATGACTAGTCACTTTTTAAAACCTGTCTAGAAAGTGTCCTGTAGGAAGCAATCCTGCAGATAATCTAATATGACTTCTCCATCTCTAACTTTTATTATCTGGAAACTAAAGTACAGGAAATAAGATATCAGTGGATGAAACACAAATGGGTACCATAAAACTGATTTTACATTTTGATTACATAAGAAAATGCATTTAAATTTTACTTTAAAAGTTGAAGAATTTTGCAGATTTGCCTTAAGACACCAAAAAAAATTAAGTTTGCAAATTTTCTATTCCCTTGCTTTAGAAATCATGCCATAAAAAATAAAATTATAATATGAAGAGACCTATAAGTTTTAGCATCTAAATCCTTGAAAATTAAAGGATTTACAAATAATTTTATACTGAAGTCAATAGAAATTTAGTCCCCCGTTTTCATAAACTTAGTTTCTACTGCACAGATCTAACTCACGGGAAAAAAGTCAAGGCTGCATAGTGAAAATGTAAAGCCGTCGAAAAATTAAAACCAAGTACAAAAACTAGAATATTTTATTTGGGTAGGATTAATGTCTCATAAAATGGGAAACAATCTGTTGTCATTCACCTTTATAGCTCATTGTTACAAAACCAGACAAGATGATAGTGATTAAAAGAAACTAATCCTTGAAGGAAGCTTTATAATTTTTATGCTGTTGGTTGTCAAAATAAATTCAGGTCCTAGTGCCAGGAAGCCAGATTTCCCCCAAAAAGGCAACTGGCACATCCCTTGGCACTCTGACCACTGAGTCTAAAGAATAAATAGGAAGAAACAACTTTTCAGCCTGAAGATTATCCCTCTAGAGCAGAATTAAAATAACGTGGCATGATGTCATGAAAAAATACACACACCCACTGCATGTATATCTATTCTATGGATACATAAAAGACTTCCGTATCTAATATAGTTAATCTGGCCTCTTTGTAAATAATAAAACCATGCAAATATTCAAATATTTGTATAATTGTAAAGCAGAAAAGCGAGTGCCTTTTGTTAAAACTACACTGGTATTTACATTTTTAATGAAGACTGAGCCTATTGCTAACTTTTTATGATCTTGAGACCCCGAGCTGCAGGCTTCATGGGTCCTCTGCCAGAGCATCACGGCAACCTACAATTGTCTGAATTGAGCTGGACTCCGCAAGTCTTATTCATGCTAGAAAGGGCTGAAGTAACAGTCCTTAGAATGTAATCTCCTTGTAGAATGAACCCTGTCATCAAACATGTCTGTCCAGTTTAGAGCATACTATCAGTGCTAGATAAATTAAATATAGGACTGAAAAGAGCCATTGCATGATATAAATCTATTTTCACCATGTCAACTGTCTCAAGGCTTTTACTTTTGCGTTGAAGTTTTCATGCTCTAAGTGGAATGGTGATTTTCTTTAGGAAAACATTAACAAAAGTCAGCTGAGTAGCTTTGGAGTTATGCTAAAGGGGTGACAAGGCATATCCATTAAAAAAGAAAAAAATTATTTCCATACTCAAGTAACCAAAACAGTATAGTTTTGGAACTTAAAACTTGTCATGGACTTAGTCCTAAATAACTGCCTTTGAAGTGAATGAAGAAATTTTACTCCTGAGGGCATTCTGTGCCAAAAAATTAAAAATTCTGCGCCAAAAAAAAAAAAAAATTCTGCACACAATATTTAAAAATTCTGAAAAAGTCTGCACATTTTATTTGACGAATACACCTCTACCCCAATATAACGTGACCCAATATAACACGGTAAAGCAGCGCTCCGGGGGGGGCGGGGCTGCACATTCCGGTGGATCAAAGCGAGTTCAATATAACGCGGTTTCACCTATAATGCAGTAAGATTTTTTGGCTCCCAAGGACAGCGTTATATTGGGGTAGAGGTGTAAATGTGGAAGCTCCAGCATGGCATTGGGGAACACAGGCCACAGGCTGCACAGAGGTGGGAGATCACTGTGAGCAGGCAGGCTCAGCAAGGCAGGATCCAAGTGTGAAGGGGCTTAGTGTGGAGGGATCCAGGTGTGCGTTGAGAGGGTTCTGTGTGGGGCAATCTGGGTGCGGGTGGCTCAGTGGTGGATCCAGGTGCAGGGTGATTTGGATGCATAGGGGCTTGTTGTGTGTGCAATGGAAATGGGACTCTGAAGGGGGTGGCTAGGTGAAGGTGGTTGGGGCTCTGCATGGGGGTCTAGGTATGAGGGGATAGAGCTCGTCAGGTGAGTCTGGGTGTCGGGGGGGGATGAGTGAGGAGTCCAGATGCTGGGGTAGTGGGGTTCAGTGGGGTGGGGATCCATGTGCAGGTGGCTGGGGCTGGGCAGGGTGGGGATTTGGGTGTGGGTGGCTCGTCAGGATAGTCCAGGTGCAGGGGGAGTGGGGCTCATCAGAAGGGTTCTGGGTGCGGGGGTGGGGAGGAGGAGGGAAGTGAGGCTCGGTGGGAGGGTCTGAGTATGAGGGGTTCTGGATACACAGGGTTGGGTAGATGGGGGAGCAGCTCCCTATACAGTGATCCCTCCCCGTGCAGCTGAGAAGCGATGGGTGCAGGAAGTGCGGGAGAAGGAGGATAGGAAGAGTTTGCAGAGCTTCCTACAGCCCGGGGAGAAATCTGGGGGTGGATCTGACACGGCCCCGGATGCCGTGCAGGGGAAGAGGAAGTTCTGCCCTCCCCAGCCCAGCACAGGGTCGGAGCCATTGGCCGGGTCTTCCCCAGTCCTGCCCATGCCCCACAGTGATTTACTTCTCTGCCGGCTGCCCTGGACACCAGAAACATACTGCTTGGGCGGTCGCATGACCATTCTTGTGGTTTCCCTTTGCTTCCCATCACAAAGTCATTTTTCTGCAGGGAAGCAAAGAAATCTGCGGGGGACATAAATTCTGTGCATGCACAGTGGCGCAGAATTCCCCCCAGAGTAAGAAATACTGTGCAGCTATACCTATAAGCTACTGGCCAATATTTCACTTTCCATTGGGGATTATCTGTAACCCACATTTTTTGAACATGTTTGAAAGCACTTGTTCTTTTTGAAAAATTTAGGACCCAAACCTGCAAACACTTATGCACATGCTTCAGTTCATACATGTAAGTAGTTTCACCAAGTTCAATGACACCACTCACATATGCAAAGTTAAGCATGTGCATAAGTGTTTTCAGGATTGGAACTCTAGTCATCAAGTAAGTTAAGAAGGGGGGGGGGGAGGATCAGTGACTGGCGGTGGAAGAGGATGCATGAATCAGTAGGCCTTTAAATATTGCTTTCTTCACCACACCATTTATTCTTCTATAGATGACAATACCAGCGGAGCTGCTAAAACAGAATACCTGAAAAGCTGCTACTTGCTATACCCAATGTGAGAGAGTAGTGTGCTTTTGTGTTATCCTTGCTCCAGGAACTACATGTGTATTTGTTTGTCTCACTGCGAGTTTATTACCATAAGAAAATACATTTATTTTTCATTTTTATACCAATTATGAAGTTTTGTAAGCTGATTCTTCCAACCAATTAGCAACTTTGCACTCTAACCAGCATAATGCACAATGGAACCCTTTAAGATTAAAAAAATTAAATTAATTTTTTTAGAATGTCTAATCTCAGGTACCAGAAGTATTAAGATCAATCATAAATTAACAACAGAAAGACTTTTTACAAAAAGAATCTTACATTTGTTTCCTTTACTTGCCTCCATAAACAAACTAGGGATCGATTCCCACAAACACTTATGTACATAGTTTACTTCACACAGGTGAGTTATCTTAGGGGATCAACAGGACCAAGCACGCATGTAAAGTTAAGCACACACACAAATGTTTGTAGGATCAGGTTCTAGAGGTTAGAGTTTGACTGCAATTTTACCTACATTTGCAGTTTACAAAGGGATAAAGAGTTTCTGTCATACCTTGTTCCTCCTCCATCAATAGTGAGAATTCGAATTCCCCAGGCTTTCACAGGATCTGTATATCCAATTATAGCCAAAGCCTCCATAACGGCAGCATGAAGAGTTTCATCAGTTCCTTGTCTCAGCTGTAGTAAGCATGGAATTATTTTTTCCTATAGTTGAAATGAAAAAAGTTGTATTTAGACTAAGTGTTAATACCAAAAAACTTCCACCTTTAATTTACTAGTTTAAAATTTAAATGCAAAGTTTAACTTAAAATAAAAAATAGCTTTTTTTTTTTTTTAGGAAATTTACAATCTCAGGACGGGAAGGGGAGGAAAAAGTCCAACACCATGTGTCTTGTGTATTCATGAGAAACTTTATATCACAATGCAAAAATCAAGGGTGAAACAGTTAAAAACGTCTAATATCTATTACAACTACAGCTATGGGGGTTTTAGAGTTAGGATGTTAATTTTGGCGTACTAGCCAAATAGCAACTCAAGTAATTACATTAGCCCAGATCCAAAAAGGAACTTAAGCATAGCAATGAATTCTAGTCACATTGCCACACACTGGAATCAGCAAACCCTGCGCCGGACACCTAGGCTCCCTATACAATGCATGGAGAGAGAGAGAGAGGTGCCTGAAAATGGGATGCACAAAAACCAGCATGCTCAGTGAGCAGATGTGTAAGCAAGCCCATATCAGACACTGAGGAGAGGGGAACATCCTAGGCCCTACCCCCTCAGGGTCACAGGAGCCTATCTCTGGGCTGGAGGGAGGTACCTATCCCTGGGCAGTGGATGGACACTTTCAGGGAGGCTAGCCTCCTGGCTCTGCCCCATCCACACGAGACCCCACCCCACCCCTCAGGCACTCCCTGCCCTGCCTCCCACAGCCAGAAAAGCCCCGGGCCCATCGGAAACCCAAACCCCCTTTCCCCCGCCACTGGAGGAGTCCCGGTCCGTTCCCAGCTGTGCCAGCAGGCCTACTTGAGCACCGGCCTGGCTGTGCCGGCCCCAGCCCAGCCACGCCGGCCCCGGCAACCCAAGCACCCCTGAGCCATCCAGAGCCATACTGGCTGACCGACTCGAACCCCAACCACACTGGGAAACTGACCTAAGTCCCAGGCCAGCTCCAGCTGTACCGGCCCGAGCAGCCCCAGCACCCCAAGCAGCCTCAGGCTGGCCTGAGGTGTGCTGGCCAACGGACACGAGCCCTGGGCCAGCCCCTGCTGCATTAGCCCAAGCTGCATCAGCCACGGGCCAGCACCAGCAGCTCCAAACTCAGGGCCGACCCAAGCCACACCAGCTGGAGAATGGGAAAGGCAGTGCACTTCCCCCAGCTGCCCATCGGAAGAACGCTGAGCTTTTCATATACACACCTATTATACCCACTGCCTACATACCTATAGCTGCTTGGAATGCACAGCTGGGAACCCTCTGCTAGAATCAGGTATCTTAGGTGTATAAGCCATTTCTTGAAAGAACAGCAGCGGCCCCTGGCTAACTCCACACAAAACAGCCAGTGGGTCAGGGTGGGAAGTGAAAGAGGAGTCGTCCCCCCTTAGAACCTTTAGCCCAGTGGTCAGGGTACTCATTGCAGGATGTGGGAGACCTTGGCCTGGATCAAAAAAGGGATTGGAACAGGGGTTTCTCATCTATCAGGGCTATTCTGATGTGGGTCTCCTGTTGAAGCTGTTCCACCTTGGATAAACAATTAAATATGCATTAGGCTAGAGAGACAGAACGACTGTAGTTCAGTGGCTAAGGCACTCGTCTAAGAAGCAGGAATCCCCTGTTTAAATCCCGTTCTCTTCAAGCAGAGGGAGAAAGTGAACTGGGGTTTCCCACATCCGGTGTGAGTACCCTATACATTGTACTAAGGGTTATAAGTATGACCCTACCAAATTCATGGCCTTGAATAACGCATAACAGACTGTGAAATCTGATCTCCCCCATGATACCTAGCTATTGTACGGGAGGGGCAGGGCTGGGGGTACCCCAGCTGGGGACTCTCACCATGTGCTGGGCTCCAGTTGCTAGTCCCAGCTGGGTTGGGGAGGGATAGGACTTCCTCTTTACCTGGAAGGGCAGCTCCTGGGGCCGGTCAGACCCACCTCTGGGCTCTGGTGAGCCGGACACTGAAGGAAGCACAGCCGCAAAGCTCTTGTAGGGGAGGGGCAGGACCGGGGATGACCCTCTGGGATCTCCTAATGTGCAACATGCTCCAGCTGCTAGTCCCAGCCAGGCTATGGCGGAATGGGACTTCCCCTTCCCCTGTAGGGGTCCCTGCCCTTCCCCTAGTGCAGCCAGGGGAGGTTCCTGGAGGTGGATCTAAGCACCGGCCTGGCTTCTCCAGGAACGGCCCATGCAAGGGAAGAGGAAGTCCTGTCCCTCCACAGCCCTGCCGGGATTAGCAGCTGAAGACTGGCGCACAGTATGAGACCCCGCCTTGCCCCTCCCCATCTCTGGGCTCAGAAGTTCAAGGGGCCTTGTGTTGGCTGTAGGGAGGAGGCGGGATGGACCATCGTGTCCCACTGACCTTGAGCGGTCACCCACCCATAAGGCAAGCCCTGCCCCCCAAAAAGTGGCAACCGCCCCTTACTCTGTGACCCCCCCCATAACCCTCTTTTGGGTCGGGACTTCCATGGTTACAACATCATGAAATTTCAGATGTAAACATCTGAAACTGGCTATTTAAAAAGTCCTATGACCATGAAATTGACCAAAATGGCCCATGAATTTTGTAGGGTCCTAGTTATAAGGGTAGCCTCCTTCTCCACCATGCCATTTTGTGTGGCGTTAAGGATGCTATGAGCACACCTTCTGGATCAGGCCCCTGCAGACAAGAGGCAGGGGAACACCTGTCTCCACCTGGTTTGAGAATTGTGCTGGGGTTTAGGTGTGAGATTAGGCATCTGGAAGCCTGCCTGATGCAGTGACACACATGCCCAAAGACAAGAAATTTAGGTATCTACTGAATTTAGATGCCTACAGGGTTAGGGGAAGGGTAAATGGGAGTTTTGTGCAACACAGTAATGCCTAAATCTGGGATCTGGGCCATTTCTGGATCTGGACCATTCTGCCTAAATTCTTCCTTTTGTTTTGAACAGATATGGTATTCATAGTTTGTTATGAACTACAATGCCAAAATCTAAGGTGTTTATTAAGACAAAATAAAGCTCTTTCGGACAGGAAAAGCCTTCAAATTCTTTTAGTTGTACGAAGAAAAGTTTCTGTTCTGTCATACTGAACAGTCTATTAGGTTTATTACTGCTATTCCTTATTTGTATTACAGGAGCACACAAAGGACCTCAATTAGGATACGGGTTCTGTTATGGCAATGTACACAGTATTGCTTTGAGAACTAAAGAATTCCTTAACAATTAACGTATAGGAGAATTAAAAGTCCAAGGTTTTCTCCAAAGCAGACATTAACTGTCAATGATGATGGCTTCCATATGAATCTCTTGGAGGTAATACATTAGCAATAAAAAAAACTGAAGATACTCACATAGTACAAGTATAAGATACAACAGTTTAAGAAGAAAAAACAAAGCAATAGATTATACATTTATCTATTTTATGATAAAACATCTGTCATTACATAAGAACTTATTATCTATCTGTAGTTGATAGGTTGAGCGTGAAAGTGATTTGTACCTTAATAGCAACTCCTCTGGTTTCTGGAAATTCCAGAAGGTGGTAAGTCAATTCTTCAATCCTGTTGATAGAGACTCTTCGGTTAGAAGATCTTCGTAAGGCCTGAACTAAAGCCCGTGTTCTGTTATCAATACTCACTCTTGCAATAATCTAAAGATAAACAGATATGTATATTAAGAATATGAAACTGCTCCAAGAAGATATATACAAAACTTGACAAGACTTTCAGAATTTTTGTTTTCTTAGATTACTCCAAGAAGAGATGAATGGCTTATAGTGGAATACCACTATAGGCTTCAAGGAAGGTGGTTTTGTTTGTTTGTTTGGGTTTTTTTTACTGAACTGATCTCTGGTTCTTCATTTACGTAAACTAGAAGAGCCTATTATAAATCTGGCTCACAGTGACAGTCCTTCAAATAACTTGGTTCAATGTTTCACCTATGCAGATGAGATTTCAATGTAGCTTTGAAATGATAACATTATAACATGCCTCTGACAACTATAGTAGCTAAAAAACCCAGTATTCGTAAATACTAAGCAAATACTTGCCTTTTCTCTCTGAAGAGACAAACGCTTTTCTTTCCCTTCTGCAGTTTTGATCTCTTTGCCGCCATCCTCTTCATCTTTCAAAGACTCTTTGCGTTCTTGTGATTTATCTTCTGAGGCGGCTTTTGTCTCAAATCTCAACTTGGGGACCAGACTGCCTACATAACTGTCTACAAAAGCTTGTACACTGTTACTAGGGTATGAAAGGAAGCTTGCAATGCTCTTTTTAGTGGAAGTTGGAAGAGCAATATTTGTCTTTTCAGCATCTTGAATCTCAGCAGCAGAAATTAAAGTGGATGCTGAACTCATCCTATTTTCATTACTCATTATGTCACTTTCTGGTGAATCGAGTTTATTTCTGAGTTCGTTCTTAGAGTCTTGTAGAAAAGCATTTCCTTTTTTCTCTTGATCCATAACAGTATTAATGCCAAAGTACCAGTTGATATGATTTGCTAAAAAGTTGTAAGTCTCTCCAAAATTTGTAGTGAAGTAGCTTACATGAAAAAGGTTGTTTTTAATATCTACAGAATCTTTTAAAGTATCTTGATTAGTGCCACTTCTACTTATCAATGTAGACTCTGAGTTTTCATCTGTGTGAACAAAGTTCTTTACAATTTGACTATTGTTGTAATCTCCCTGAGCTCCAGCACATGTAGTTCGTTTATCATTTTCTAGGTTTACCTGGAGATTGTTTTCCTGAACATTATTTTCAAATGCTTTCCCCAATATGCCAGAGTGGGGCTTGAATCGAGCTATTCGTGCAACCAGTTCACTGTGGGTGCCAGAAACAGCCTTTGAAACAGATTCAAAAGTGTTCTTAATTCGTGACATACGATTATTCACTTTTGTTAGTCCCTTAGGAGAAGAAGTGCTATGTTTAGAAACTCTATAATACAAAAAGTCATGGCTATAATTGTGTTTACTACACTCTAGTGTTTTGCTTCTGGTCCATTTACATTGAGTTTTGCTTGTATGAAAAACTCTAAGTGGAATACCATGACTAATCCTCCAATAAAGTTTAGGTCTACACAAGTAGTACAGCTGCTTGTTTCTCTGCTTCCCCCAAAGGCTTCTTGTGTTAATCAGGAGATACAAATATTCATTTAAAGGCAAATTAACTGACATTACTTATAAATATTTATGTCTTTCATATGTTGTTTCTTTACTTCATACCAGAAAGCTTATCTCAAAAAAGTCACACTTCATGATGTTATCTGAAATGGAAAAACATTAGTTAAAATAAAGATTAGAAGTAGTTTACAAGTGAATACAATTTAGTTCTCTTTCTACTTAAATAGGGAACAAACATATTCAAATGAGAAATTCTCAGGGGTACTGTATTGCCCAGAGTATTTGGTAATGACATGCAGAACCTTCCCACTTTAAGTTATTAGTTTAAATGCACCCCAAGACAATAAGCAGCAACCAAAGTCACTCAAAATATGTGTTTGCTCATGGGAAATCAGAAGGTAGCCCCCATACAGTTTCTAATAGACAGGTGAGCAGAGACCAAGGGTAACATGGAAATGTCATCCCTAAAAATGATTTTTCCAGTCAAGGTGTTGTATGTGTTCTGTGAATAAATAGTTGACTTTACACTTTAGGACTGCAAATCCAGCACATTCCACCAATAAAAATAATATCTTGAATACCTTTCATCCTGAATCTTATAAATCTCATACAACCTATACACCGAGATTTAACACACCACTGAAGAACCGCCACTTCTGGAGTGAAATGCAAATACTATACAATAGCTGCTGCACCAGCTGAAAGTGTAGGAAGAATTCAGGCAAGCAGATTATTACTCCAACTAGAATTTGGCCAAACATCAGGATTTAACACCTCTGTTCTTGTGAGTACTGCCATAAGTAGTCAGGACACAGTTTGCAAAAGCTGAGGAAGCCATATTTTGAGATGCATGGCTGCAGACAGGTAAGTGATGTACATGCACAGCGCACAAATACATAGACTATGTATACACAGAATACACAGATATGGTATACATGCACACACATTCATACACAGTATAAACATAGTGACAGGTACACATAGGCAGGATACTTAGCTATCACATACCCAATACATGCTACAAACACAGACAAGAACACAAGACACTCACTAGCGCTAAGATACAACTGCATTTGCTCCAACCCCTCAGACAGAGGCAAACACTTACAGGATCTCTATCAAGCGTTCTTAAAACTACAATGCCCACCTGGTGAAGTGAAGAAATAGATGGACAGAGCCAGAAGGATACCCAGAAATCACCTACTACAGGACAGGCCCAACAAAGAAAGTAACAGAATGCCACTAGCTGTCACCTAGAGCCCCCAACTAAAACCTCTCCAGCGCATCATCAAGGATCTACAACCTATCCTGAAGGACGATCCCTCACTCTCACAGACCTTGGGAGACAGGCCAGTCCTTGCTTACAGTCAGCCCCCCAACCTGAAGCAAATACTCACCAGCAAATACACACCACACAACAGAAACACTAACCCAGGAACCTATCCCTGCAACAAACTTAGTTGCCAACTCTGTCTGCATATCTATTCAAGGGACATCATCATAGGACCTAACCATATCAGCCACACCATCAGTGGCTCGTTCACCTGCACATCTACCAATGTGATATATGCCATCATGTGCCAGCAATGCCCCTCTGCCATGTACATTGGCCAAACCAGACAATCTCTACGCAAAAGAATAAATGGACACAAATCAGACGTCAAGAATTATAACATTCAAAAATCAGTCAGAGAACACTTCAATCTCCCTGGACACTCAATAACAGACTTAAAAATGGCAATTCTTCAACAAAAAAGCTTCAAAAACAGACTCCAACGAGCAACTGCAGAACTGGAATTAATTTGCAAATTGGACACCATCAAATTAGATCTGAATAAAGACTGCGAGTGGATGGGTCATTAGAAAAACTAATTTCTCCCTACTGTTACTCACACCTTCTTGTCAACTGTTTGAAATGGGCCACCCTCATTACCACTACAAAAGTGATTTTTCCTCCCTTGGTATTCTACTGTTAAGAATTGAATTGTCCCATTAGCACTGACCCCCCACTTGGTACGGCAACTCCTATATTTTCATGTACTGTGTATATATTTCTGCTACTGCATTTTCCACTCCATGCATCTAATGAAGTGGGTTTTAGCCCACGAAAGTTTATGCCCAAATAAATTTGTTAATCTCTAACCACAAGTACGCCTCGTTGTTTTCACTGCTGGTATAAGCACCATAACACACAAACAGGGCACACACACTGTATAAGCACAGAGAGATATATACATGATATACGGCGGACAAGATACATGGCATATGCACATACAGGACACAAATATGCAATATAAACACAGTGACATCACACACACAAGATAAACATGGTCCAAAGGCTGTGATACACACAAAGGCAGGACAAAGTGATAGGCACCCAATGACACGGGACACCTGACACGGGACACCTGCCATAGACACAGTGCCATATACAGTATAAACAAGTAGTGTGACACATGGGGCCAAGGGGAGGACACACCCAGGGATACACACCCAGTGTCACACACGTAGATACACTCACCCCGAGACAGGCTTGCCACAGTCTCGCTTGTTCACCCTCCCGTCCCCAGACGGGCCTGACACAGTCTCTCGCCCGCCCCGAGACGCGCACAGCCCAGGTGCCCGGACACACGCCCGGGGAGCCGGTCAGGCGTGTGCCGAGCGCGGCGCAGGCCCGGCCCGGCCGCGCTGAGCGGAGCCCGCTGACACTTACCCCGGGGGGACCCGGCCCCAGACCGGCGCGGGGTGGCACCTCTTGGGCGATGCCAAGACCCCGAGGAGGCCCCGCGACCTGCCGCCCCCCTCTCAGACAGGGGCAGCGCCGGGGCCGATCCCTGTCGCTCCTGGCGCGCGGGCCGCGGCGGGTCCCTCACAGCGGCGGGGCCTGGAGACCGGCTCAAAACAACAACACAGCGACAGGCAGGAACCGGAGGCACGCCAGCGCGCATGCGCCGGACCCCGGAACCAGCTGAGGGGCGCTGCGCGTCGTCCCTTCCGCCCAGCGCTGCGTGAGAGACCCGCCCCGCACCCACCCCCGCACCCAGCTCCGCGCCCGCTCCTGCCCTCCGCTGAGCCTGTCTCCCAGCGCACCACCCCAGCCTCGCTACCCGCAGATCAAAGCCCGGGGGCTCTGGGTGGGCTGGGCCCACCTGGCAGCCCCGAGTGGCTCTGTTACACAAGACTCGCTGTGCTAGGTCAGCCGGATGGTACATCTAGTCCAGTATCCTGTCTGCTAACAGTGGCCAATGGCCAGTGTTTTAGAGGGAATGACCAGGGCAATTTGTCCGGTGCCCTATTCCCTGACCCCCAGCCCTAGCTTCTGGCACTCACAGTGTGGGGTTGTATCCCTGACTATCTTGGCTAATACCCATTGATGGACCTTATCTCAATTTTTTTTTTAACCCAGCTACAGTTTTGGTCTTCACAATATCCTGTGTCAACAAGTTCCATGGTTGACTGTGCGTTATGTGAAAAAGTACTTCCTTTGGTTCGTTTTAAACCTGTGCCTATTTATTTTGTTGGGTGATCCTTCGGTGTTGTGTTGTGTGAAGGAGTAAATAACACTTCCTTATTCACTTTCTATAGACCTCTATCTTATCCCCCCTTAGTCATCTCTTTTCCAAGCTGAAAAGTTTCAGTTTTATTAATCCCGCTCATATGGAACTTCTCCCCGGCTGGGGCTCCCCCAGCCCTGCCCCTTCCCATGGAGTAGATCAGATTTCATGGTCTGTGACATGTTTTTCCCAGCCATGAATTTTTGTCGCCCTTCTCTGTACCTTTTCCAATTCTAATATATCTTTTTTGTGATAGGGTGACTAAAACTGCACACAGAATTCAAGGTACCATGGATTTACATAGTGGCATTGTGATATTTTGTGATGTCTTATCTGTCACTTTTCTAATAGTTCCTAACATTTTGCTCGCTTTTTTGACTGCTGCTGCACATTGAGCAGATGTTTTCAGAGAGCTATCCACAACGACGCCAAGATCTTTCTTGAGCGGTAACAGCTAATTTAGATCCCATCATTTTGTATGTATAATTGAGATTATGTTTTCCAGTGTTCATTACTTTGCATTTATCAACATTAAATTTCATCTGTCATTTTGTTGCCACTCATCTAGTTTAGTAAGATCCCCGTGTACCTCTTCGTGGTCAATTTTGGACTTAACTATCTGAAATAATTTTGTATCATCTGCAAATTATACCACCTTGCTGCTTAGCCCTTTTACCACATCATTTATGAATATATTGAACAGCACTGGTTCCAGTACTGATTCCTGGAGGACATCACTATTTACTTCTCTCTATTCTGAAAACTGACCATTTATTCCTACCCTTTGTTTCCTGTCTTCTAACCAGTTAGTGATCCGTGAGAGGACCTTCCCTCTTCTCCCATGACTTCTTATTATGCTTAAGAGCCTTTGCTGATAGAGCTTGTCAAAGGCTTTCTGAAAGTCCAAATACACTATATCCACTGGATCACCATTGTCTATGTGTTTGTTGACACCCTCAAACAATTCTAATAGATTAGTGAGGCATGTTTTCCCTCTACAAAAGTCGTGTTGACTCTTCTTCAACAAACCGTGTTCATCTGTATGTCTGATAATTCACTGTGATGGGTTGGGTCACAGAGACCCCCTTGGGACTGCCACCTGATGTGCTGAGACTACCTTTGAGCCCGTTTTCTCTGGCAGCTTGGGACTTCAGTACCCTGTCTTATTGAGCCAGTCATGCTAGCCTGCTACAAACACAGACCCAGGTCTGAACCATATCCCCCACAAGCTGCAGACTTAACTGAAAACAGCTTAACAAGTGCTCTGTCTCTAGCACCCAGTTCCCAATGGGAGCCAAACCCAAAATAAATCTGTTTTACTCTATATAAAGCTGATACAGGGTAAACTCATAAATTGTCCATCCTCTCTAACACTGATAGAGAGATATGCACAGCTGTTTGCTCTCCAAGGAACTAATTACTTGCTCTGGATCAATTAATAAGCAAAAAGTGATTTTATTAAGTATAAAAAGTAGGATTTAAGTGGTTCCAAGTAATAACAGACAGAATCAAGTAAGTTACCAAGCAAAATAAAACAAAAACATGCAAGTAAATAAATAGAATATCTCCATTAATTTTTTTTATCTCCTAGAACTGAAAGGGACCTTGAAAGGTCATCGAGTCCAGCCCCCTGCCTTCTCTAGCAGGACCATGTACTGATTTTGCCCCAGATCCCTAAGTGGCCCCCTCAAAGATTAAACTTACAACCCTGGGTTTAGCAGGCCAATGCTCAAACCACTGAACTATCCCTCCCCCTAGGTCTAAGCTTAATACATTAAGAAACTGAATACAGGTAAATCTCACCCTCAGAGATGCTCCAGTAAGCTTCTTTCACAGACTAGAAGTCTGGGCCCAATCCTTTCCCCGGTACAGTCCTTGTTCCAGCTCAGGTGGTAGCTAGGGGATTTTTCATGACTGCAGCCTCCTTTGTTCTGTTCCATCCCCTTCTATAGCTTTGGCACAAGACGGGAATCTTTTGTCTCTCTGGGTCCCCACCACTCCTTCTAAATGGAAAAGCCCCAGGTTTAAGATGGATTCCAGATGGCTTGCAAGTAAACAGAGCCACCTACAGTCAATTGTCCTAGTTAATGGGAGCCATCAAGATTCCAAACCACCATTAATGGCCCACACTTTGCATAATTACAATAGGACCTCAGAGTTATATTTCATATTTCTAGTTTCAGATACAAGAATGATACATTCATACAAATAGGATGAACACAGTAGATTATAAGTTTTGTAATGATACCTTACAAGAGACCTTTTGCATGAAGCATATTCCAGTACATTATATTCACACTTATTAGCATATTTTCATAAAATCATATAGAGTGCAATGTCACACTGGTCTTTACTATAGTTTCATCCAATTTGCCTCTGAGGTGCCTCATCTCTGAAAAGGCTTTATAGATTAGAACCAAGGTTGTAGTTCAGGCTGGAGACCATTGGGGAGTCTGTGGATCTATTGAGGCACTGGATATGGGCAGGTGAGAGCCGTGTGTGTCAGGTTTTCTTATCTAGGTCCACTTTGCATGTAGTGCCAGATGCAGCTTCCACATGATGATCGTGCTCAGTCATAGATAAATTGACTTGCGCAGGCCTGATCTACACATGATGAAAATGTGGATGATTTTTTTCATGGATCAGATGGCACTGCCTCCTTCAGCTGTGAACTCAAAGGGGACTTAAGTTAGGCACTCATAGCACTGACTTAGGTGCCCAGGCTCCTACAGTGGGGAAAAGTTAAGCACCTCTGAATGAACTCTACAAAAGCAAGCATGTTAAGCAGAGAGTCACCTAACCTAGTCAATATCAAATGCTGAAGGGTGGCATGGAGGGAAGGCATGATGAGGGCTAAACTGCTGTACTTCAAAGGGACTTAAGTACCTAAATCCACACCAGAGGGAGGTGCAGATCTCAATGTAAGATTCATAGCTATGAACCTTCTTCTGGAGACAGGCACTTAAGCTCTTTCTCAACAAATACCAAGGAGGTGATGGTGGTTGGTGGTAGTGTTCCTCTTTTTCTTGGTAGCCCATAGATTTGTTGTAGAAATCTGGATCTTTTTTAGCATTTAAAACTAAAGAGAAAGGAAAATCAAAGTCTTTTCACCAATAGTTCTCAAACAAAACAAAAAGAGGATATATTTGTTGAATAAATTTGTAATGACTATTTCACCCAGGGCTTGTCTACACTGGCCTGCTAAATTGGCGTTGTTCCTATTGATGCAGTGGCATCAATTTAGCGGATCTGGTGAAGACGCAATAAGTTGATGGGAGAGCAAAGTCTTATTTATTGAAATAAAATTTAGGTGACTAAATTATATTCAATAAAGCAAGAAAGAAAGCATTACAGTATATATATATATTGTAGTGCATTAACAAACATTTTAACATTGTGCTTCTTCAACTCAAAAAATTAGTGCATTAACTAACATATACATGTAGTAAGGGCCAATTACATTGAGATTATACATTTAAATGGCACAGGGGACTACAGAGACTGTATAACAAATACAGTGTTGTGGTATTGATACACACTGACCCTTTCATACATATGCATAAGGCTTTTAACATTAGACTTATTACAAAGTAGCATACAAATAACCTATGCACATGTATAAAATACCATTACAATTAGGGCTGTCAATTAATCGCAGTCAACTCACGCAATTAACTCAAAAATTAATCATGATTAATTGCAGTTTTAATCTCACTGTTAAACAATAGAATACCAATTGAAATTTATTAAATATTTTGGATGTTTTTTTACACTTTCATATATATTGTATTCTGTGTTGTAATTGAAATCGGTGTATAGTATTTTTATTACAAATATTTGCACTGTACAGTGATAAACAAAAGAAATAGTATTTTTAATTCACCTTATACAAGTACAGTACTGTAGTGCAATCTCTTTGTCATGAAAGTGCAATTTACAGATGTAGATTTTTTTTTGTTCATAACTGCACTCAAAAACAAAACAATGTAAAACTTCAGAGCCTACAAGTCCACTGAGTCCTGCTTCTTGTTCAGCCAGTCGCTCAAACAAGTTTGTTTACATTTCAGGAGATAATGCTGCCTGCTTCTTATTTACAATGTCACTTGAAAGTGAGAACAGGCATTTGCATGGCACTTTTGTAGATGGCATTGCAAGGTATTTATGTGCCAGATATGCTAAACATGTGTATGCCCTTTCATGCTTCGGCTACCATTCCAGAAGACATGATTCCATGCTGATGATGCTCATTAAAAAAAAAGCGTAATTAAATTTGTGACTGAGCTCCTTGGGGGAGAATTGTAGGTCCCCTACTCTGTTTTACCCACATTATGCCATATATTTCATGTTATAGCAGTCTCGGATGATGACCCAGCACATGTTGTTCATTTTAAGAACACTTTC